GGAAAGATGTGTCTCAGAAAGATAAGAAATCTCTGCCTTCGATTTCTTTACATGTCACAGGACTTGTGGTGAATGGAGCCCTTTAACATCCCAGGTCATAATACAGAGGGCGTGAACAAATGCAATAAATCAAAGAAGAGGGGGGTCGGTGTTCCAACAGTGCTCTCATCCCAAACCCAAAAGCAGTGTGCCCCAGTACAAATCTATTTGATTTCTTAGAAACACTGTATATCATCCAGTAGCCTCCTTGTCTTCCCCAATAGCATTCCTCAGTGGTCACTGGGGGATAAATGAAATCCTTCCTGTTGCCATCAGCAGACTGATGACATCATTCTCAGGCATCATGACCAATGGCAGTTCAGGTTTGCCAAGAAAGACTTTGGCACACGCATCTGAATGGAGCTTAAGGTTAATGATAAAAGAGGAGTTAAGACATTGGGGGATCTGACTTCGACCGGTTCGCTCGCCTCCTTTGCAGAAAAAGGTTAATGATAAAAGGTGTAGGTTTTGTTTGAATTATTCTGTTGTTTCTATATTGTAACACGTTACTAATTTAGTCATACCGACTTGTAAAGCTTCTAATAGGTGCACTCTAACTGCTTGCAGCCAATTAGAGACGATCAGGACAGGAAAAGCTGGCAGAACAAATCCTCTGGAACAAGTGTGTTCATGGAAAAACTTAGGTCACCTTCTTGTAAGTACTATGCAAATATAGTAGTATACTGTATGCCTGCACAAAAGAATGCTAACTTCCTGCTGGCATTCCAAATTAATTATTGAGCTTTAATTAATGTTTAGAAACAATTGCTGTATATGCCTATTTAACTAAATAAAACATTATAAAACACAATTTTTGCTGTAGCTTTTTTTTTTATAAGTTAATAAAACATATTTTAATGATACAACTGAGCCAATAGTCATAATCTTTTTCTAGTAAGTGTCATTGTGCTCTCCAGTCATCTTAACTGTATGGAAATATAAACTAAATAATTCACCAGTAAAGTATAAAATAGGCATAAAACAGCGCAGTGTGCAATGTAGTGAGAAGGTAAACTACAAAGAAGACACAGTTTTAACACAAAGAGCAGCTGAGAGAAGAGTATATTATTAGTGAGCAGAATGGAAGACTTGGAAAAGAGGTTTGGCATACCAATATTAGCAGGGTGCATGGAATGTTAACATATGAGAAACCACATACAAGCCACAAAAAGAAAGAGTAAAACCTGACAGATGATTCCAGTAATGTTTCACAGTGGCTTATTAGGTCCATGGACAGACACCCTGGAAGAGCAAGTAATTCATATGGATAGAAGAAAAAAACTCTAGAACATCCCATCCCAACCAATAACATTCAGATGGATTAACCAGTCTTTCTTGCTAGTGGGTTGAAGCGTTAGGTTCTTGGTGCCAACAAGACTGCCTAGGAAGTTTTTTTTTTTTCCCAGAAGGGACCCAGACAAAATGAACAGTGCGTTCTTTCTACCTTTTACCGTGGCTGATATGTTCAGTCTGGGCAATCCAAGCTTGACCCAGAATATATTTCACCATTAAATATTTTTATCACCCCATTCAAATACTCTTCGTTTGTACATCAGTCAGGTGAGTCACTTTTGTAATATTGTTTTTAGATTTTACTTTAGGATTCTTAAGTAGACACTTAAACTGGGGGAACCTGGGTTTATTTTTAGTTTAACTTTCATTAATTTGTATTTGTGTTAATTATTCCTACAAACGCTTATTATCAACTAGATCTATGAATATTTATTCTAAGATGTTAGTACATTTATCAGCATAATTTACTTATTTGAGGAGGTAAAACTGGAACTAACACTTCATTAAATAACATATAATATATTGTCACTCTCTCTCCCCCCTACTTCCCCCCCCCCTCTCTCTCTCTCTCTCTCTCTACATATATATATTTATTTATTTATTTTTAGTAAAAAAACAACTCCAGAAAATATTGCAAACTTTTGTACCATTGCCATTTTAGTTTCTCCTTATTTGAACTTGATTTTGGAAAAAGAGCTGCTGTAGGTAAGAAGGATAATGGCAAATTTTTCTGTAAATTATGCCTAGCTGTGTATTGTATTTTCTATTGGCCCTTGTCACATTTTATGAAATGTAATGTGGCCAGCATCCTTAAATGGAGAGATACTTGGCTACACTACAGGCAAATGGGGAATATAAACTGTAGTAAATTATGTGATGAATATGTTGGTTTAAAAAAATGTACAAATAAATGTACAAAGATTTATCACAACCATCTACAATGTAGTGTCATCTCTTACAAACTTGTTATGCAAAACAAAAACATCAGGTAGCATCAGGAACTACAGTTATTTCTGACTGCGGGATAATTTTTAGTTAGGCAATACAAACAAAAAGGGTTTGCAAAGGTATCCAGTGGATTTAGGAGATTATTTGTCAAAGGTTTTATTTGCAGTCCTTGAAGGGGAACTTGCATATTATATTGTATAAGTATTCTACAATATAAGATCAAAGACTTAAGGTTTCTGTAATGTCATTTTCTTCTTAGAAATATAAATGTAATAATACATCTGCCTTGCTAAATTTAGAATATAAGTTAATACAATTTTGGACCTAGTTATGCCATGTTGCTATCATTTGAGCAATATGGTGGAATAATATTTCTGTGAAAAATTGTCACTTAGATAGGTGTCAGTACATGTCTCTTATCTTAATGGCTGGCTGGCTGTATACAGACCTCCCTGCATTACCCGTGCACTGATTTTTGAAACGTTGGAGCAGTTGTCAGCAACCTACTGAGAGGCCCGGTCACTGTCGCATAGAATGTGGGGTGGAAAGGCATGCCAACATCTATGCATAGGAAGTTGGGGGTCTCTAGAAGCATTTTGGAAGGCCATCCAGTAAAATAGAGGGTATGTACTGCCACTTTATATTAGCTTTTCTTCTGCAGGTGTTGTTTTATACTTTATTTTTATTACAGCTACATGTTAGCTTTAAAATGTAAGATTTACTTAAAAAAATATAAAAAATAAATGCTGCATTTATTATGTTCTAAATATTTAGCATAGCACAGAAAAATAGAAACATATTTATCATTTGACATATACAAAACAAAACAAATTTATATACATCTATAGGCTTTTATTCTATACGACTGTCAATAATAATGATTTTTTTTTACATGTTTTTTAATTCTATATGTCAATAATTAATGTATTTTTATTATTGAACATGAACACTTTCTAAACTAAGTTTTAGTTAAAGAGATCATGTGAGCAGCAATTTGATTCAACAACAATCTTTTAGGGATGTTCAGATACCAGTGCCGATATTTGGCATTTTCACGAGAACTACCAGGGTTGCAGCGGTTGCAGCTGCCTTCTAACTTTTGAATTTTTCTCTAGTCTAGCCTTGGAGCTGGAAAAGTATCTGTACTTGTACTTGTACAGAGTACGGTAATGGTATCTGAACATCCCTAATCTTTATATAAGATTATATGTGCATTTAACATATTTTAGGCATGTTATTTACATGTATAGGTGTCCGATTAGGTCCAATAACCCTGAGGCTGCATCGCCACCACATGTGATGTAAGCAGGCCCAGCAGATTTATAGCTGTCACTCAATTGACACTCTATAGTAGGCAGCCCTAAATGGAGGACCAAGTAGCAGTTCTATCCAGACCATAATCACAGACCTGCATTGGGTTATGGCTGGCTGGCAGCCAGCCATAACCCAGTGCAGGTTTCAGACATTGCTTGCTAAGACTACTGGCATGCTAGTAACCAATGATGTCAGGTGTCTACCTCATCTTCAGTCATTGGTTGCTAGGATTGTCGGTCTAATAATTAGTTGTCCCCACCAGGGTGCCCTTTTACATTGGTTGTTCCCATCAGTGCCCCCTTATTTTAATTGAAAAAGTAAGAAGGCACTTTAATGGGGACAAACTAATGTAAGAGGGCACTCCAATAGGGACAACCGATGTAAGGGGGCACTCTGATGGGGGACAACTAATTATCAGTTGTCCCCATCAGAGTTCCATGCTACATTCATTGCATTCACACCAAATGCGTTAGGGCTGCCCTAGCCACTTTTTCCAGCACTGCCCCAATGCCAGACAAGGCAATTTGCACGGTTACGAATTGGCTCAGTTCACACCACCATGTTGCAGTTGTGTGTGCTGAAAAAAGTACTACATATGGGCTGCAACAACATCAAACTGTGCTGTGTCCATAGAACTTAATGAAATGTCACTTGTAACATTTCAATAAAGTTCTAACAAAAAAATTTAAAACTGGGAACAATAAAATGCACAGCTGCTAGTGTAAATGCAAAAAAAATAAAAAATTGAAATTAAAATTAAAAAATAAATAGAAAACTGGGGACAATACAATTCACAGCTTCTGGAGTGAATGCAGCCTAAATGGCAAACCAGGGTCCAGACGCAGACTGAATGACTGTTCTGTCCGGACCGCGATTCAGACTTCTGCTTGATGAAAATTTTACTCACCAGACCTCCTTCAATTTTAATTCACTACCCGTACTCTATAGTATTCTCCTTCCCTCCTCCCCTGGTAGCTACATAAAAGGAAATATAGGGAGAGATGAAGGAGCTGGGCCAGCACATACAGTAATTAGACACTCCCATAAGTGGAAAGAGCTTTGATATACAAGAAAGGAAGGGGCTGTGCTGGGGAATTGACTCTTCCTGGAGCAGTCAAATTTTGTAGCAGGTTAAAAGGCACATTGCAAGTAATGAAAATAAAATAATTTGTGGAAAGAAAAAACACAGCAATTAAGCATTTATCATACTTTATTTTTTTGCTTTTACCTGCAGTTGTTTAAGTTGGTGACAGGGTCTCTTTAAACACTCTTCCTGCCTGACTGTTTGGAATGGTTACATGTCACCCAGAGTATATATTATTGCAATTATCTGATCTTCTCTTTTTTCTACCACAGTACATCCAGCACCTGCATGAGTCTCAGATATTCAAAGATAATACAAGACCATGGAATTATTTGATCAGATTCACACGGATTACTATTTTAGAAACATTTCCAGCAATAGTACAAACCAAGGAGCTTTCTTAAATATATCTAATGATGATTTGATTGCTACATCTATGATTGGCATCATGCTGTCTTTAATGTGTGTTGCTGGTGTGGTTGGCAACTTTTACACTCTAGTAGTCATTTGTATCTCAATGACAACATTCACATCCATGTACATCCACATACTTAATTTGGCATTGGCAGATTTATTATATCTTTCAACCATCCCATTTATTGTCCACAATAGCTTTGTAAAGGACTGGTACTTCGGAGAGGTTGGCTGTAGGGTTCTGTTGAGCCTGGACCTTCTGACCATGCATGCCAGCATCTTTATCTTAACAGTAATGAGCACCGAAAGGTATATTGCAGTTAGTAAACCTTTTAATACTGTTCGAAGGTCAAAGAGGTACAGCAAAAGCTTGGCCTGTGCAATCTGGGTGTTCTCCTTTCTTCTGACATTGCCCATGATGCTGATGATACATCAAGAAGAGAGGATACTGGACAATGGTACTGTTCGAAAATTATGTACCCCCACATGGAGTGATGAACGATATAAGATATATCTTACAGTGCTGTTCACTACCAGCATCCTGGCCCCAGGGGTAATTATTGGCTATTTATATACCAAACTGGCAAGAGCTTACTGGATATCTCAAACCAAAAGCCTTCTCAATAAGGAGCTGCCAAGATCACCAAAGCAAAAAGTGATACTGATGATCTTCATTATTGTACTTGCATTCTGGGCATGCTTTCTCCCATTCTGGATATGGCAGCTAGTACCTCTCTACAGCAACGAGGAGCTGAGGTTGTCGGTTCAGACTGAGATCTATGTGAACAATCTGGTGACTTGTCTGACTTATGGCAACAGCTGCATCAATCCCTTCCTGTATACATTACTCAGTAGAAATTACAAGGAATATCTCCGCAACAGGCAGAGGGGAGGACTCGGATCCCTGAGCCTTAAGGGTGGAACAGGCTATCCAGTCAATCCTGCCAAAAGATCCTTGTCAGGAGGAAGCAACCAAGGTACAGAGACTGTTACATTAAGCAATACAAAGCTGGCTGTAACAACACAACATTCAGTTTAAACAGGAGGTAAGGTTGTTATCATTAGTGTTATTCACCTTTATTATATGATGTAGATACATATTACAACAAAATTAGGGATGTCCTGAGACTATTTTTTTAAGACCAAGTACTTTCCCTCAGGTACTCACCGATACCAATTACCGATACTTTTTCTTAAAGGGACATGACATTTTTTCTAAAACAATACAGACTAATAATTTTAGGGCAGTTTCCTTATAATTATGAAGAACTGTAACTTAATCCATGATTATACAGCAATGGAGAATGGCCACCAGCAAAAGAGGACTAAGGATCCCATCAATCCATGATTATTCAGCAATGGAGGATGGCAACCAGCTATAGTGGGCTACAGATCCCATCAATCCATGATTATACAGATATGAAGGGTGGCAACTGGCTATAGAAGACTAAAAATCTCAGCAATCCATGATTATTCAGCAATGGAGAATAGAAACCAGCAATCATGGATTGCTGAGATTTAAGTCTTCTATAGCCGGTTGCCATTTTCTCTCGCTGAATAATCATCTCATCAATCCATGATTATACAGCAATTATACAGGGGCGTGTGCAGATCTCACCAGGGCTGCTTTTGGGTCTTACCAGGGCTGCGTGCAGATCTCATTAGGGCTGCGTTTGGGTCTCACCAGGGCTGGTTTTGGGTCTCAAGTGTTTGGGTCTCACCAGGGCTGTGTTTGGGTCTCGGCAGGGCTGCGTGCAAAACTTCCCAGGGCTTTGTTTGGGTCTTCCCTGGGCTGCGTGCAGATCTCAGCAGGGATGCGTGCAGATCTCGCCAGGGCTGCATTTGGGTGTCACCAAGGATGCGTGCAGGTCTCACCAGGGATGCATTTGGGTAACACCAGGGTTGTGTTTGGGTCTCACCAGGGATGCATTTGGGTCTCACCAGGGTTGTGTTTGGGTATCCCCAGGGATGCGTGCAGGTCTCAGGAGGGCTGGATTTGGGTCTCACCAGAGCTGCGTTTGGGTCTCACCAGGGCTATGTTTGGGTCTCAGCAGGGCTGCATGCAGATCTTAGCAGGGATGCGTTTGGGTCTCAACAGGGATGCCATGCAGATCTCACCAGGGCTGCTTTTCGGTCTTACCAGGGCTGCGTGCAGATCTCATTAGGGCTTAGTTTGGGTCTCAGCAGGGCTGTGTTTGGGTCTCAGCAGGGCTGCGTGCAAAACTTCCCAGGGCTTCGTTTGGGTCTTCCCTGGGCTGCGTGAAGATCTCCCCAGTGCTGCATTTGGGTGTCACCAGGAATGCGTGCAGGTCTCACCAGGGATGCATTTGGGTCTCACCAGGGATGTGTGCAGGTCACAGGAGGGCTGGATTTGTGTCTCACCAAGGATTCATGTAGGTCTCACCAGAGCTGCATTTGGGTCTCACCAGGGCTATGTTTGGGTCTCAGCAGGGCTGCATGCAGATCTTAGCAGGGACGCGTTTGGGTCTCACCAGGGATGCCATGCAGGTCTCACCAAGGATGCCGTGTAAGTCTCACCATGGCTGCATGTGGGTCTCTCCAGGGCTCTGTGGGTGAGTGTCAGGCTTTCTAGGGCTTTGCATGTGGCTGCTGGGCTCTCTAGGGCTGAACGGGTGGTATCAGCGTCAGGCTCCAGGGCTGTGCTGTGTGGGGCTGTCCTGTGCTGTGCCGGTGCCGGGTTGGAGGAGGAGGCAATGTGCAGTCGGACCAGCATTATCAAAGACAGCTACTTGAGGATCCCAGCACGCTCAGGACTCCAGGCAGCCGAATGTCCTGAAAAATGTAAAGAGCCAGCAACGGTCTTCAGTATTGGTGGCTTTTTTTAGGAGTACAAGTACTCCTGAAAGGGCCCTGTATTGACCCCGATACCGATACTAGTATCGTTATCGGGATATCCCTAAACAAAATACTTACAAGTACTCCCTAAACATGTACATTTATCTCCACTCCATCTAAATGTATCATAATTCTTTACAAATAATTCCCTGCATTTTTTAAATAACAAAATATAACTATTCCACTTGTGTTGTATAAGATTTAGTATTAAACTTTTAATCCAGTGAAATTAGTTAATTTTGACAAGTAGGATAAATTGTACAGGTTCTGTATGCTGTTTTTTTACATTATACCGCGGCTGGTCACTTAGCCATCTACTATTCATTTGTACATATAGACATATTGGTATACCGTATATACTCGAGTATAAGCCGTCCCGAATATAAGCCGAGGTACCTAATTTTACCACAAAAAACTGGGAAAAAGTATTGACCCGAATATAAGCCGAGGGAAATGAGGCAGCTAATGGTAGATAGATACCAATAAAATTACATGAATATTTATTTAAAAGAAAAATAACCTAGCTCTGTAAGTGGAAAAGGGGGTACAGGGCTACATATTATGTACTACGAATCATTTAACCCATTCATATTAGCAGAGGATAATTGTAAATCTATTGTTCAGTGCATTCTATATGTATTATATAGTACATGTACATATAGAGTGCCTGCAACAATACATTTACAATGATCCTCTGCTAACATGAATGGGTTAAATGATCCATAAAATGGGCTGAAAATCTCGGCTTATACTCGAGTATATACGGTATATACATTGTTAGAGATTTTGAAACTGAATATGCTTGACAGAAATGTATAAGGCCAATAAGGAGAGGGTTTACTGTATTTTGATAGCTTGAGTGAAACAGCTTATCATCTCAGTTAGGACACAGATAATCTCTAAACATAAGGACTGCTTAGAATATAGGCAAATGCATTTATTGTATTATTAACCTGAACACAGCTATCCTAGAATAATTTTGGTGTTGCTGAGATGCATTAGGTGGCTGCAATGTTCCTCATTTGTCTTTTGGTGTTCCGATTGTTCCTCTGAACAGGTCTGTATACCATAAGTCATTTATGAGCCATTACGTATGGGAGAAGAATGAGAGCAATAGCCCCTAACAAAACATAGGCTATGTACCTTTTGTGTTTAATCTTTTATTTTGACTTAGTCTGGATGCCTTTGGATATTTGTAATAAATCCTATAGCAGAAGCTACTGAGAAGACCTGCCAGACTCTCTAGAACACAAATACCCTTTAGCTATCTCCGTTCTCTGCAGTCTCTTCATGGGGGAATGTAGAGTTCAACAGTATCTCTGGCTATAAAGCAAATAGCACGCTGTCTCTAGGGTTTTGGCTTTCTTCACAACAATACTCCTGCATCCGCGCTGATGACAAAAAGGAATAGAATCTCTCCATCATTCACCTTTGCAGTGGGCTTGGTATAAGTGCCTGGTATAAGTGCTCCTTTTGGCCTCAGTAAAACATTTTTCTAGTTTATACTGATGTAAAGCTCCAAGAAAACCACTATAGATGGTTTCAATAATATATGCTTACTATGTTACCTACCAAAGTATTTGTAATTCTGACCTGCCCTTCTTGTAATACATACACCTCCGCTAGTCAATACGATTGGACTGCTCCTTTTTGGTTTAGCATAGGGACCTATGCTTATGTTTGCGTCAGAAATGTTTCTCTCCCCATTCAAATAATGTGAATGCAAAAGCAGCTTAGCATAGGTTGATGCAGCTTAGAAGAACATTAAATGCAGGTTAGAAGGAGGTCAGCTACAGGTCAAATGCACCTGTGAATGTCAATGACCTGTGAATGACCTCAGAAGCATCTCAATCTGACCGTAAATGCAAGCAGAATGCGCCTGAATGGAAGCTGCATCTGCATGGCCCATCAACACAAGTCCAAAGCCCATTGCTACAGCTCACTACTGCTTCTTGGGTCAGCTCAAAAGAAACTGCTTACTCTTAACAGGTGCTATGCTATTTTCCTACATATGATTTGAACTCCAAGGCTTAAATAGATTTATAGCATGAACAGCAAAGGAGAAATGCCGTGGTTTGAGCAGGCATAGACTATTACAATACTTTTTAAGTATCAACAAGTTGTGAGAGATACTGTTTTTTAAACATTTACTCAATCTGCCGAAACGTATTTACCTATCCATACCTTGTAGTATGGACCTACCTCTGCATCGGCAGGGGCAAATGGAAAAAAGTGGACAGTGATCTGTTTGGTAGAGTCAGGGGTTTGTCCTATTTATGACAATTCATGTCCACGGAGGAGTGTATTGCCATTATGGTGCTACAGTTGATGAAACACATAAATGGACAATCAGAGCCCTCTATCTGTGTTTTCAACACTGGTTGTATAACTGAGATAGGTAGTGTGCACTTAGGGCAGCATTGCCTTTTGTGAGCCCTACACAAGGCTACCCACTATCTAAGTGGTCTCCTACATAATTCTCACTGCCCTCCCTATTGCCCCACTTACATAGGCCTCTCTCTCCCCCTCTGCTACTTCACACAGTGAGTTGACAGTATGGAACGGCATGGAGGAAGTCAAGTTATCATACAGATGCAATGCTACAAGAGCCATTTTAGCGCAGCCTGTGTCTCACTGAGATGCAATGTTTACCACAGAACTTGGGCTTGGGGGTAAATATTTTGAACTATAATATGGACATAAAGTATCTGTAAATGTAACTGCAAGCTGCCACCAGCAGTTATTTTAGGAAACCTTGCATCTCAATTACACCACTGTTATCCCGAGGACAAGTCGAGCAGTGATTCCGGCCTTGCATTGTGAACTTTATATACGGCCTGTGACCAGTGCCGACATTATAGTCTGAGAATGGGTGTTTGTAAGACAGCAGAGAGATAATTCTTAATTAGGCTTTATATTGCTAAAAATGAGAAGTGAGAAAAGGTGTTGGTTTCCTTTATAAAAATGTTGTGACCCTATGCACAGTGCTTAGGGTCACAACATTTTTATGCCAGTCACATTAGTCTTATTGCTGAACTCAATTCTAGGAGAGCAGATTTAGGGGTTGGAGAATACCAAAAAAGAGCACAGGTATTCTGAAGTAGTAGTATGCCATTTAAGATTAGCCTATTGGTAATTGGTGCTGTGACAGCAAACAAGCAAACCCATAAACCCATGGACAGT